TCTTCAAACTCCAAAGCTAGTTGTCCACAGATCCGCATCTCCTCTTTTGTCTGATTTTAATTCTTTGTGAATTATTGTTCTTTTTGAGCTATAACAGAGATGTTGAGAGTAATCTAGAGTGAAACAGTAAATAGACAAATATAATTAGCTCTGTACGTAGTCGCGTTCTTGGTTTGTTGGTTTTGAGACTTGTGGCTGTGTTGATGGTGTAACAAAATCTTATAGCCTTGATTCTTGATATAATAGCACAATGAGCTTGAATCCATTCTGTCGGAGCTCCAATGGAGATTAGCTAAGCAATTGGCAAACTCCGAGCCCAATTTATTGGGACGAACATATCTTCGTGTTGTTTCCTGTTTTCTGTGATTTCTTTGTGCAATTGACACACCTTAGGTTTGAACATAGTGATGGATTCACTAAGAAGTAGGGAATTGAAACTTGAGACTAAGGGTGCGTTTGATTGCAAGGGTGGAAAATAGGTGGAAAGAAAATGTTTTACAGGGAAAAGATTTGCCTAGAAAATGTTTTGCAGGGAAAATGATTTCAAGTGTGTTTGATTGGTATAATTTTCAACCGGAAAAATTTTTAAATTTTCTATTCGTTTGGCTTTGTTTTATATGGAAATTGTCCATTAAAGTTTTTTTTTTTCCACAATTGGTTATAAAATTTGTTTCCATTGTGAAAAAGTAAAAAAAAAAAGGAAAAAAAATTGTTTCCTAAAAAATCATTTTTTTAATCAAAGTTTAGTGTTCGTTTGATTTTGTTTTACATGAAAATTGTTAATTAAAGTGAAATTTTTTTTTACCATTAGTTATGACATTTGTTTTCATTGCCAAAAAAAAAAAAAAATTCCAGCCAGTCAGGAGAATATTTTCCCACCAAAAAGGCGGGAAAATATTTTCATCAAAAACCCGGAAATTGCATACGTGTGGGGAAAATCCGAAAAATATTTTCCGTGGAAAATTTTGCCTATCAAACAGCCAAAAAAGTGGAAAGTGGAAAATATTTTCCTACTTCCCCGGAAAATGTGGCCTATCAAACACAGCCTAATTGTAATCTTCACGCTGTGATTTATGTGGCCATTTATATAAGTTCGATTATTTTAACACTAAACATTTCTAAATGTCTATTAATGGCAAGGATACGAGTCACTGGCATCCTTGCAAGCCAATCTACTGTTTGAGCCAATTCAGTTTGAGATAAATTAGTCAAATACTCTTTCAAGCTTGTGAACCATTGTTGAAGATATATGTAAAAATGTGTATTTATCTTTCTAAGGTGTCTTTTGGAAAACCTCGGATTCCTCATGGAAGATCATTTTTGCCCATTTTAGGAACTAGATGTGCTTGTGCATAGAGGAATTTACGAGTCTGCAAAGGGGATTTACCTTGCATTTCATCTCACATTCATATTTTAACCAACTTATGAATACCTTTTACATTTACAAACGAGTTTCTCTAAAATTTATGTACACTTGATTTTAACAGTAAGCAACTAACGCGAAACGCACGTTCATCGCACTAGTAATAATATATATATATAAAGATGTAATTTTTTTTTGGTTAATTATGGGCGTGTCTGGGCTCGCTGCAAGGAGGAAGGAAAATTGATTATGTTACCTTTTTTTTTTCAAACCTACAGCCCTACAGTGAGATAATTGGTCCAAAATTGCGACTCCCAACAACATGAATTGTGTTGCCAACGGCTTGATTTCAAATTTCGCCTATCAAACAGCCAAAAAAGTGGAAAGTGGAAAATATTTTCCTGCTTCCCCGAAAAATGTGGCCTATCAAACACGGTCTAAAAGAATTGAAAAAGCAAAGAAGTGGAGTAATTGATGGCATGGGCACAGTTAGATAGGACCATAATGATAAATCTCGTAAGAAGAGTAAAGGTCAAAAGGTAAACATAGGTCAAGATCGAAATCTAGATCTAAAGGTAGAAAGTGCTATGAGTATGGCAAGAAGGGTCGTTTGATAAAATATAGATACGAAAAAAAAGGAAGAACAAAATGGTAAGTCCAATAATCAAGGAAATGTAGTACATGTGTTGCTTCACCTAGTGATTGGATAGTGCATCCTAGACCCGGGATGTTCATTTCATATGGCATCTAGGAGAGATTTCTTTGACCAAAATAGAAGAGAGGCATATTGTTGTGGGCAGTAATATGTCATGTAAGATTGCGGGAATTAGAACCCTCGCGCTTAAAATGAGAATGGTATAGTATAAAAATAATATGGGATTAAAGTATCTCAATTTATCGTGATGTTATTTCATTTAATTATATTATACCTTTAAAATACGATTAAAATTTAGAAACATAATATATATATATATATATAAAGAGCCTAGACGATGGTCATTCTGCATCTTCGTGTAGTTCTATAGACCCTTGCCTAGAGGGTGCCAATAACAAAGGGGCGGTTAGCTCAATTGAGCGAGGACAATCCCATGTCGTCATTGGAAAGATAAGTAAAATTTTAGTATAAAAATTTTCAGTATATCAATTAATAAGATGTGTTTTTTTTCTTTAAATTCTTAAATGCAAAATTTACATAAAAATTTCTATTTCTTTTGTCTCTATTATATATAGTTTTTTTCATCAGAGATTGACTTTATTTTATTTTAAAAGCAGAGACCAGATTCCTTTTTATTATATTCAATGTTCAAGTTGATGCACACTTGCAAGTTAAAAAGGAGAAATCGTGAAGAAATCACGAGGAAAGAAATCATTGCATGGTCTACTAATAATTAGCTAAAACATCCACCACACTCCATAAATAAAATTTAATTATCTAACGAAAAAGTTACGAGCGCTTGATTTGATGTTTTCGATATTGTAAAACACTCAAAAAAAAAAAAAAAAAAATTTTTTTTTGTATTTTTGAAAACAAGAGTAAATTTATAATTTAAAATTCAAAACATATTTTTGACGTTTTAAGTAACCATATTCTTCATTCCAATGCAAATCAGCACGTCTAAAAAACCCATCGTCTCCAGAAAGTTAATCCAATTTCTCTTCCTTTCGATGACAAATAACCCATTGTTAACGAAGTCAATATTTTTTATTTTTTTTCATGTGTTTTACGAAGTAATTATTAATTGTTTGTATTTTATTTTTGTAATGGAAAAAATATTGTAAGATTTATCAACTTTAAAATGCATATATAATTACTCGACAACATATTAAAATAAAATTGTTTTATTTTCCTAAATAATCAAAATAATTGAACCAAATATCATAAAATAATTTCTAAAAAATTCAAATCAAGCATGTTTTCTAGTTTATTTATTTATTTTATTTTGAGAAATAATTTTTCACAATGATAAATTAAACATGTTTCTGCAATCTTAAAATAAATGTAATATTACTATTCTTTAATATTCACACCGCTCTTTCAATTTTCTACAACCTGTCGATCATATTCTATAGGAATTTGGAAAGAGCCAAAGAGAAGCTTATAAAATAGTAAACTGTTAGAAATGTCACACAACTTGGCAACAAAAATGATGAGGATCAAATGAATGATAAGGAGAGAGAAAATCTTGGAGTGATAAAATTGTCAATTTCAAAATCGAAGGATAAATGAGAAGTTGTTAATTTGTTATTTGATAGTTGTTATCTTTTTTTTTTTTCGGATAAACATTAGTTATAGAGAATTGTTGAACTTATTTTTATTATAAATAGAAATAAACGTGTGCTATTGTTTATGACATATGGTCATCAATTAATAATGTTATAATCAAGTCTTTTATTCATTTTTAAAATTCTTTTCATATTTTCTTTTTGGTGCCAAAGTCATTGTGAGCACTCGACACACCACAGACCCCAAGTCCTCTCTTCCACAATCAATTTACTATCCGTAAATGTTGACAACTTTATACTCATCTCATTAATTCTCATCCATCAAATACATTCCACCAAATCCCAACAAAACAACAGGAACAAAAAATTTCATACCAAAATTAATAAATGAGTTGAAGAAAAGGTTAATCATTTCACTAATGATGGCCTTGTCCCCCACCAAATACATCACATCATATTAAAAAAAAAAAAAATTCACACCAAAATTAACAAATGAATTCATTACCTGGTAAAAGTCTGATCGTTTCATTTATGATTTGATAATCACAACTATTCGAAGAAACCCTCAAACTCGTTATAGGCTTAGACACAACCCATGCAATATGGGAAACACTTGAAATGCTTATATATACAAGTGATATATCTTCACAGGAATGAAGATAAAAATCATTGATGGCTTCTTCATCAAACCAATACGTAAAGCAACTCTCAAATTTTGGAATCAAATTGTGCCTCAACCCAACACAGTTTGCAGGAGGATATTAGAAATGTCACACAAGTTGGCAACAGAAATGATGATGATCAACTGAGTGATAAGGAGATGAGAAAATCTTGGAGTAATAAAATTGTCGAATTTAAATTAAAGGATAAATGTAAAGTTGTTAATTTGTTATTTGATAGTTGTTATATATTTTTTTGGATAAACACTAGTTATAGAGAGTTGTTAAACTTATTTTATTATAAATAGAAATAAATGTGTGCTAGTGCTCATGGCCTATGGTCATGAGTCAATAATGTTATAATCAAGTCTTTTATTTATTTTTGAAGTTTTTTTCATATTTTATTCAGTCATGAGTCAATAATGTTATAGTCAAGTCTATTATTCATTTTTAAAGTTTTTTTTTTTTTCATATTTTCTTCTTAAACTGCAAATATGTTAATGGCTGATAAAACCTTTGTCGCTTAACAAATTATTTAAGACGTCAAGCTTTATAAAAAATAAAAATAAAAAAACCCTACATTGAAATTACCAAACTTTTGCCTGCACACAATCGGCAATGGGAATTAGATCAGTTGTTACGTGATATTAGTATCGAGAAAGCCCACTTAAAAATAATAATAATAAAAAAAACCCTACATTGAAATTACCAAACTTTTGCCCGCACACAATCGGTAATGAGAATGAGATCAAATGTTACGTGATATTTCGAGAGAGCCCACTTAACCCACCTTTGGATGCTATTCCTGTCATGAACAGTAGATATGATTCCTTAAGGCTTGTTTGAGATGTAAAAAGGTGTCCCATCTTAACCTTCAGATGAATCTTCTTCATCACCTTCTTCGACATGCTTCTATGCTTCGCTAGAGCTCCATTTTCCTCGTTAATGATCTCGGGTTCTTCTTTGATGGTCTCAAGTTTCGTCTTTAGGATTTCTTGGATATTCATTGGTGATTCTGTTCTCAAACTCTTTTTGCTTCTGCAAGGTACCATCGACCACATTTTTCGCGATCCCTTTCTCATCTTATTTCGCAATTGCACACTTGATACAAAGTTGACCATAATGTCTTTCCTCATTTTGTCATATAAAATGCATCTCTTCTTCAAAAGAGTTTAATCACTTAGTATATATATTGGCAGGAAAGGAATTAAAGTGGCTGAAAGGGGGGCAGCCTGGCTATGAAAAGCTTATACTTTTCTCTTTACAACTTGACTTGATCATGACAATCTTTTGTTTTAGCACTTGCCTATAACAAAGATTTATTATTTTATGTTTCCACCAACCCTTTATTTTCTAATGTATATTTACTTGGTAACGCGTTTCTTTAATTTTTTGAACTTTTTGATTGATTTCGTACTACAATCTAAAACAAAAACATGTACATGCAAGCTTATCTAGGGACGGAGATTTCTCCATGTTGACTTGCACATAGGCTTCAAGTCGAAGTGTTGAAAAAGTGTGAATAAAATCCTACACGCGCGAGATACGTGTAAATGATATATGGGCTATAAGGAATTGGACTACTATAGATTAAACTTTTGAAAACCCTAATTTCCCTGCAATTTTATCCCATTCTGAAAAATCTATAAAAATTTTGTGTTAAATTTTTTGAATTGGATCTTAATACAAAAATCTAATGTAAGATATCTCCATATGTGTTCCCATTGACATGGGACAACCCTGTTGGACAGCTATTAAAACAAAACTCTTTTTATTTTTCCATAAATTTATTTTCAACCACGAATTATCGCAATAAAATATTTTGCACGTAAATCTAAAATATTTTCATACCTTTAATTAGACATTCTCAAAAAAAAAAAAAAAAAAATCACAATTTCAAAATTTATTTATTTTTCAAAAAAAAAAAACTATTTTTAATGATTGTCAAACAGGGAAGACATGGTCCACTTTGTGATGTCTAAATGAACATATTTTCTTTTCTTTAATAAATTCCCTTTTTGGTTTAGCTAAAAAAATTGATAAAAAAGTTAAGTCAAACTCATTAATAAATTTTACGCACATATATATTTCATGGGATTCATATATTTTTATCAATTTTTAATCATATTTCATCAATTTTTATCAAAATTTATTAAATATGTGATTTTTAGAAAAACCAAATAGGGCAAAATCCTTAATGAAATCGTATAGCTCATGTTTGGGCTCTATTTTATTCAAAATTCAATTTTCTCTCTTATCTTTTTAATCACGCATTCTCTAAAAAAATAATATCACACGCAAATCTACAATTTTTCTTTCTTTTTTTAACCACGCGTTCTTAAAAAAATTACTATTCCAAAATATATTTTTTTCCCAAAACTTCATTAAAATGGAGGCCCAAACAAGGGCATATAGTATTTAAACAAAGTGAAAATAAAGAACACCTTACAAATATTGCATTCACAAGATTGAAGGAAGGGTTTCAAATTATTGTTATAGTAATCAACTGAGAACCGATGTATATATGTTTCCACTTTTAATTTTAAAGAATTGAAGATGGTATAATAATAAGAAGAAAAGTGAAGGTTAAACCGCGGTCGAAAGAAAAAGTTTATAGTATATTAGATTGCACGCATTCAACACTTTCATATAATCTTAGTTGTGTGCATCGTATGTAGAGTCTATCGTTCAATTGAGACTTTGACATTATGTCCTTATTTTGAATCTCATTAAAATGAGATTTTCATGGGACGTCACATTTTTCTACCACGTTTTTATTGTTTAAAATTATTTAAGTTACATTTGTTAGACTTTGAAAAATATCATTTCTACCGTTGAATCCAAGTTAGTCAATTTTATCCTTTCTTTTTTTTTTTTTCATAATTTCAGAAATACCCTCTTTTATTTAACCCTACCATTCTCATCACTTTCGCAAGGGTGAAATAGGGAATCAATACATATAAATTGCCACATCATCGTACATTAGTCAACGAATGCAAATGTGCAGACCCACATTGGCAGGAAATGAAAATGCATTTTGGGATTTTATTGGGGTCCAAACGCGAAAGTAACAATCTTTTGCGTGTTAGTTTCTGTGACTTATCTCTTTCCTTTACCTAAAATAAACAAAAAAAAAAAAAAAAAAA